CAAGCGTGTACCCACACCGGTGAGTGCTCATAAGTGTGTCTGAGCAACTGTCTCTGGATGCACGTGACTTAGTGTTCCCATGAGCCTCTGCCAGTGTACCCATGCGAGGCCCAGAGCCCTGTTCCTCTTTAGCAGTTGGCTCCACAGGAAGCTGTTGGGGTGGGGGTGAGGGTGCTGAGGCTTCTCCCATCCCCCACTCCTCCCTTCAGGACACTTGCACCCACTGGCTGAGTGGTGGAGGTGAAGACCTGCTTTCAGAACCCCAAGCCTATGCTGTGCCCAGACCCCACCTCAGCCCGCAGCTGGGGACAGAGGCACCAGCAGGCAGCCGGGCAATCGAGGAAAAGGAAGGTGAGGTCACCGGGACTCTGACCCACTGAGGTTCCCCAGGGCAGGCGGGAGGCCTCGGCCCTGGCTGTGTGCCTGCAGCAGTGAGGACACGTCTCCACGTGGTGAGTGCCCATCCTGGGGGCTTGGGAGTGGAGGGACAGGTGGGCCAACAGGGACAGACTGGCAGCGAGGTCTGGGGCAGCCTGAGGGGCAGTGGCCAGACAGCCCATGCCTTTCTGTCCACCCTCTGGTCAGCCTGTTTTCAAGCTGCGGGCGAGGTGGTTTGACCAGCTTTCTTGTCCTGCAAAGTCTGTGGTCCTAAGAGGTCTCTCCGGGGGCTGCAGTCCATGACAGCCCACCAGGTACGACAGGAGGATGGAGCCCCTTGTGGCCAAAGTCTGGGAAGAGACAGTGGATGAAGGGGAGGGTCTTAGCCTTCCAGCGGCAGAGTTGCCAGGCACGCTTTGCTTTTAAACTAGAGATGTTGGAACACACACCCCCACACCCCATGGACCTCTCTGAAACAGAATCTGAAAGCTGGGGCTGGGGTGTCTGACTTTCAAAACAAACACTTCTGCTTAAGGCTGGTGTCTGAGTGGCAGGCCTGCGAACGGCTTCTCCCCAAGCCGGCATCCCAGGAGGAGAACCCTCCGCCGGGCAGCCCTCCAGGTCTTCCCCCACCAGGGAGGCGCTCCAGGCTCCACCACGGCCCACCGCCCCCCGGCAGCGTGGGGTGGGGTGCAGCAGGGAGGAAGGCTGTGGTTTTGTTCAGGACACACCCAAGCCTCTGCTTCCTCCCAGCCCCCAAGGCCACACGGCCACCAGGCCGCCTCAGGCCTCTGGGGTCCGGAAGGTGACCCGGGAGCAGCCGGGAAAGGGTGCATTTGGAGCGGGTGGCTGAGGCCCTGCAGCCGGTGAGTGCGGCTGGTTCACCTCAGAGAAGGCCTCCTGGGCCACTCAGGCGGCTGGTCCCACTGGCCAGGCTCCCGCAGCCTAAGAAGGCTCGACCACCAAGCAGACCAAGGGAGGACTGCCCTGCCCGCCATGGGCCTGAGCCCTCTGGGGGGCTTCTGGACAGAGGCGGGCTGTTGCTGGGCCTTGAGGCGCCCAGGGAATGTCAGTGGCAGACCCACTAGTATGTCTTGTGGCAGCCGTGTTCGCACACCCTGACTCCCAGCCCTGAGGGCTGGCCCCTGCAGCGCTCAGTATCGCTACCCAGATGACAGGATGGTTCAAATCCCGCCCTTGCCTCTGGGCAGCGTGGGCAGGTGACTTCCCCTCTGGCCTCCCTTGGCCACACTGAAGCGCCGTCACAGACCTTGCAGTAAGATCACAGCTCAGGCCAGCACGCAGCTCGAGCTCAGAGAACATTGTCAGGCGGCCCTACTCCCTCTCACTGCCCCTGCAGGCAACCTGTGTGCATCCTCAACAGCCTTCTGGGGCACCCAAGGGGAGTCCAGTCGTTACTGAGTTCGCAGGGTGGGCTCCTGAGGAGGACTGGACAGAGATGACGGCCACAGCCTGGGCCTCTTTCTGGTCCGTTTCCCAGGCACTTACGAACCGCATTGATATCAACAAACTCCCTGTGAGGGAAACACTGTATCACGTCTGCCTCCCTGCCTCCGGGACCCTGACCTCTCCAACCCCAATGCCTCCCAAGTGCGGGCGGGGTTTTCCCTCCAATCTGTCCGCTTCTGCAGCTGCTCCATGGGAGCTGGATGTCGGTGTATGGCGCGTTTTATGCCTTTCTACAACAAGCTAGCGTGCCACTGTGAGGAATGGGGATCCTTGTATTTGTAAGGCTTTTCTAAAGCCTGCACTGCCTCCGGCACCTCATCCCCCTGGTTCGGCCTCCGGGCTCCTGCCTGTGTGTCAGGGGCTCGGTGGGGCTCTTCCCGGCTTCTCCCCGCCTGGGTTCCCGGCGCCCTCACAGCTGCCCTCCCCCCGGGGCCGAGGGGCCAGAGGCACGGGCAGCCCTTGGGAAAGGTGTGAGGTGGACGATAAGGAATTCAGACCTGCAGCACCACAGATGAGGTGGTTTTTAATATCCCTGAGCTGTTCTCTGGGTTTCTATGTATGCGTCTGACTGTGTATAATTATGCGTGTGTGTCTGTGTGTCTGCCATTGTCCACGGGTGTTAACCTATGGAGCAGGGGTCTTCAAACTACGGCCCGCGGGCCACATGCGGCCCGCAGAGGAGTCTGATCTGGCCCGCCAGGTTTTCTGGGCAGTGAGCGCAGCCGAGGTGTTACAGTAGGAATTAGTAGTTCATATAGTCCGGCCCTCCAGCTCTCTGAGGGACCGTGATCTGGCCCCCACTTTAAAAAGTTTGAGGACCCCTGCATGGAGTGTGTGTGTTTTTGTTTTTGTGTGACTGGAAGATTTGGGAGCCACCTGCGTATGATAGCAATGAGGGGGGTGCAGGGGGACCCCAGGGCCCGGGGGAGAGCAGGACGTGACCAGGACAGAGCCCTGGGAACACAGAGTTTAAAGGTCAGGAAAAAAGGAAGCTTAGGCCAGCTGGTGTGGTTCAGTGGTTGATCTTCAAACCATGAACCAGGAAGTCATGGTTTAATTCCCATCAGGGTGCATGCCCAGGTTGCAGGCTTGATCCCTGGTGGGGGGAGTGCAGGAGGCAGCCCGTCTATGATTCTCTCTCGTCATTCATCCATCCAGCCTGTTGCATCACAGGAGGAATGAACTTCTAGAAGGGCGTGGTCAGGGGGCCCAGCAGAGGAGAGATGGGGAAGCGCCCATTGGACTTGGCCTCAGAGAGAGCTAGAAGGCTGAGGGGTGGGAGGGACTGCAGTGGCTGTGCAGGGGAGGGTGGCACAGATGGGAGTGTGCAGAACTCTCTGAGAAGGGAGGGGAGAGACTGAGAAGTCGCCCGCCAGCCAGGAACTTTCCAGAGAGGAGTGAAAAAGGAGGCAGCACTCGGCCGCTGGCGGGTGCACGGCCGTAGCCCTGGGGCACCAGATCTGGCCCCGACACGCAGACACAGAGCCAGGCAGGCACAGAGCCCACAGGGGCAGGCAGCTCTCCTCAGGCCCAGAGGACACAGGCAGGTCCCACCCTCAGAGACTAATGGGCCTTCACACCCACGCACCCTCACACACACACACACACACACACACACACACTCTCTCTCTCACACACTCACACTCACACTCACATACACACCCACACACACACTCACATACACACTCACACACACACAACACACACACTCACATATTCTCACACACACACATTCTCACACATTCACACACACACACACACACACACTCTCTCTCTCTCTCTCTCACACACACACTCACACTCACACTCACATACACACCCACACACACACTCACATACACACTCACACACGCACACACACACACTCTCTCTCTCTCTCTCACACACACTCACACTCACACTCACATACACACCCACACACACACTCACATACACACTCACACACACACAACACACACACTCACATACTCTCACACACACACATTCTCACACATTCACACACACACTCTCTCTCTCTCTCACACACACTCACACTCACACTAACATACACACCCACACACACACTCACATACACACTCACACACACACACACACTCTCTCTCTCACACACTCACACTCACACTCACATACACACCCACACACACACTCACATACACACTCACACACACACAACACACACACTCACATACTCTCACACACACATTCTCACACATTCACACACACAAACACATACATACTCACTCACGCGTGCACACACTCACACACACACTCTCACACACTCACACTCACATACACACACACTCACATACACACTCACACACACACTTACACACACATGCATATACACACTCTCACACACACACTCACACACTCACCACACTCACACATACACTCACATACACACACTTACCACACACACACTCACACACTCACATACACACATACTCACACACACTCACCACACACACTCACACACGCTCACCACACACACACTCACACATACACTCACTCATATACCACACTCACATACACGCACACACACTCATACACACTCACATACTCACATACACACTCATACACACACACACTCACACTCTAAGTTTTTTTTTAAAAAAACTCATAGTAAGAAACATCAGGTTTGCTGGGGGGGGGAGTGGGTAAAGGGGCAATAGGCACAGACTCCCAGTTAAAGATGACTGAGTCCTGAGCTGCCATGCTCAGTGCCGTGCACAGTGCCGTGTGCCAATTCCATCAAAACACCGGACTGTGTGCCAGTTCCATCACCAAACTGCGGGAAACCACAGGTGCTGAGTGTCAGCACACGCACGGACATTCAGACACTCAGACCTGAAAGCACACGCTCTACACACCAACACAAACAGACAGCGGGACTCACCCAGCCTTGTTACCGAGGACCCCGGAGCGGCCACTCCTCCCACGGCTCTCAGCCCCTCGGGAGGTCTTGTCCAGCCCAGTAGGAGGCTGGGAGGCTGGGGTGGGGGCTGCCAGAGCTTGGCCTCCCCAGGCTGGAGTCCGGTGGACCGTAGCCAGACCCAGCCCCAGGTCCCTCGGCGCTGCAGCTGGCAGCCTCTGCAGCAGTCCCCGCCCCTCCCGCCAGCACGGGTTCCCGCTGAGCTGCTCCATCTCAGCTGCACACTCTCCCGCGAGCCTGCCCATGGCTGCCCCAGGGCTCAACCACTCCTGGCCGGCCTTCCCTAAGCTGTGGCTGAAGCGGTGGGCCTTCAAGAGAGGTAAGTGGGCAGCAGCGAGCAGCGGGCACCGGCCAGCAGACGGGTCCCACCGCGAGCGCTCCTCGGCCTGGGCACGGATTGCCTGAGGCAGCCCCCGGCTCCTCGTCCCCGGGACCCCATGGGACACCCAGACTGTGGGTCCCTCTTGTCCGGGAGGAGACATCTCCCCAGGCTCCGCGTGACTTGTCTCAGGAGGTGCGTGTGCAGGAGAGGATTCACCTTGTAGCTCCTCGGGGCAGCCTCGTAGCGTCCTGGGCCCTGACACTGCCAGCTCTGGCGGCTGCCGGGCAGAGGCTCAGCAGAGCGAGCAGGGCTGAGACCCAGGGGTCCTGGTAGGCACCTCCCCTGAAAACACACACACACACATTGGACAGTGACACGCACCCCCGTCCTGGGCCTCAGTTTACCTCTGCGGTGGCTAGAGGGGCCCTTGTGTTATATCCTCCCGCCTGGGTGTATTGCTTTTGCAAAAAGGTACTTCTTCAATCTCAGGAGGAAGTTAGCCGTTGAAGATAAGCCGATGGTGTCCGGGGCCACGGTGTGTGGGACACTCTGTGATAGCAACACCACCCCCCCCACCACCACACACACACACACACACACACACACACACACACACACACGGCTCCCCCTACCTTCCCACAAGCGTCTCCGAGGCAAGCCAGCCCCCTGCTCGGCCTCAGCAAATTCTGGCCCCATTACGTGAGAGAGCTGAGGACTTGTTCAAGGTGGCAAAGGATGCCCACTCAAGAGGGGGTAATGAGAAGGTTCGTTAGTTCTTTTTCCTGCAGACTCCCTGAGAGCCCATTGTGCGCTTGGCACTCCGCTGGAGGAGATAGTGATGTCAAGGGACCTGAGAGTGGGGCTGGGGAGAGAGAGGGTGACAACTGAAGAGCAGTCATAATGATGGGAATTGCTGCCAGCTGTGAAGTCTCATGCAATTAGACTCAGAGAGGCTGACTGACTTGCACAAGGTCACACAGCAAGGACTAGCTAGAGGAACCGGCATTTAAAACCAGTTCTGTCCCAAGGCCACCTTTGAGGTATGTCCTGCCCAATGAACAAAGCTGCCAGTGCGGGCAGCTGGAGGGCCTGGGGCGGGTTTTTAAATCCACCAGTGGGTGGCAATGCTGCAGAATTGAATGCCTCAGCTGCAGATCAGCAGGGCACCCGCCTGTGACCCAGGTCCTCGCAAAGGCCTACCAGCTCCCGGTCACCCAGCCCGGTCAGTCTCCCTGCCCGGCTAGGCCAGCAGGTGAGACAGTGAGCTGTGGGAACCCGGGGTGGCTCTTAAACCGCTTTGTGGCGGCGGCTGCAGATGCTGCTGGAGGGAGAGGCTGCCTAGGACCTGAATCCGGGCTGACAGGCAGCGTCTTCAAGAGGATCTTGTCGGGGGAGGAGGGGAGCAGAGTGACTCCCCACGAGCGTCCTTCGTCTTTAGCCCTGGAGGGCGTAGGGAGAAGCCCTGTTTGTGTCCCTCTTAGGCTCTGTCACAGCTGCCTGGACCTTCCTGGGAAATGGTGGGGTTGGATTTGAGGAGGCAGACAAGCAGGGGGGTGGGGGACCTCCTGGGAGGCTCCTGCAGCGGGGCTGCCCTCCCCTTCTTCGCTGTCGTCCCCGATACCCCTCTGGCCACACGTTCCCACTCATTCCCCCAAGTACAGTACGTACAAACCTAATGAGTGCCTCCTGTGCCTCAGCTTGGCTTCTTTCTTACCTGGCCTCTCTGCCATGATTCTGACCCCATTCCATCTACATCTCTCACCGGCTCATCCCCTAAGAATGCCATCTCCTGCTGTAATTCCTCACTGCCTCTGGGCCCTGCCACATCACCTACCCCTCCCCCCCCAACTACCCATCCACCCCTTGTCCATCTATTCGCCCGTCTCACCATCCATCCATCTAACCATCTTCTATTCAACCAGCCAACTGTCCTTTATCCATCACCTAACTGTCCATCCATTCATCTGTCTACCCATCTAAACATCATCTACCTAACTATCCATTCATCTAACATGCATACATACATACATACATACATCCACCTGAGCATCCATCCATCTAACCATCCATCCACTCATTCACCCATTCATCCAACCAACCAGCCAGCCAACTATCTATTCATCTAACCATCCAACCAGCTAGCAACTATCCATCCATCCATCCATCCAACAATCCATTTACCCATCCAACCACCCACCCATTCATCCATCTAACACTTATTCACCCATCTATCCACTCATAAGCTCACCACAGAATGACCTGTTGCTTATAAGTCCTTTGCTTTGAGTTGGAAAAACCTAGGTTTACATCCAGCTCTGGTGTGACCTTGAGAAAATCAGTACATCTCTCTGAGCCTCAGTTTCCCCTTCTGTATAGTAGGGACTCAAAGGGTTGCTTTGAGAATATGAGAATGCAATTGTGTGAAGGCCTTATCACTAGCCCAGGCAATAGGAGTTGACTAATACACTAGCTGATTTGGGTAGTGTTGGTCTGTGGGCTGAAGTGTCTCCTGAGTTCAATTCTGATCAAGGGATGCATGCGGGAGGAAACCAATAGATGTGCCTCTCTCACATCCATGTTTGTCTCTCTCCCTCCCTTCCACTCTCTCTAAAAATCAAAGGAAAAATACCTTCAGGTGAGGATTAAAAAAACAACAGCATAAGATTCTACTTGGGGCTTGGAGATATGAAAGGGAATCAGATACAGAACCTGCCCTTATGATCCGGAGCAGGGGTCAGCAACCCTTTCATAAAGGGCCAGAGGCTACAGATATCCGGCTCTGAGGGTCATGTGAGCTCTGATTCAGCTCCTGGATTTTGCTGTTGCAGCAGGAAAGCTGTCATACAGAGGGCCTGGCTGTAGGCTTGGAGCCACATTGGGATGTTGGGACCCCTGGTGCAGAAGGGCACAAATGAACCAATTGCACTACCGCAGGCTGAGGGGAAGGGTGCGTCCTCTGGCACAGACTGTCCGCAGAGGACCAGAGTCCCCGTTGTCAGGCGGGGGGGAAAGAGTGGTGAGGACAGCCCCGAGGCACACGGGAGAGCACTGAGTGTGTGGGGGCAGTTGAGAGGGCCGTGACATCCATCCTGGTGTCACAGACTGAAGCTCAGGGCTCAGTCTACGACTGAATGACAGCCTATGACTCCATGACACAGAGACTGGGCTCAACATGCAACACCAGCATCAGAGTTGAGTCTGTCATCAGAATTTAGCTCAGCCTGTTCTGGGGTCAGAAATTTCTGTCAAAAGCCTAATTCATCTCTGGCCTTTCACCTTTAGCCTTTGGGTGGCAGACCTGCAGGGGGCAAATGCCAGGCATGAGTTTGTCTTTGGCCCCATGAACCCCTGCAGGGCACCGCAGGCAGGCCCTGCAGCCTCTCCAGGGGCCTCTGAGGACGTGGCCCAGAGACGGGTCTGCCTCTCCCTCCCAAGCTCCCATCAGCCTCAGGACCCTCCTCCACACCTGCTCTTTCTCACCCTGCAGCCTGCTTGCTTTATTGCAATATCCCCCTGAGTCACAGATGCTGCCCTGGCTTCAGGTGGGGGAGGGGCTCGATGCAGGCGTCGTGAGGGCAGAACAGGGTCCCTCTATCCGCCTGGGGGCGGCCGGGAAGCCGGGGTGATGGAACTGTGACCTGGCCACACCGTGAGGCAGCCAAGGGCAGCAAGGCTCACCTACCTTGGAGCAAGTGGAGCTGAAGCCTGCAGGCCCGCCCCACCATACTCTGAAAGGGGCCCCCACAAGTTTTTTTAGTTACAACTTCACTGAGATACAATTCACACACCATGTAAGTCACCCACTTTACGTGTGCAGGCCTTTAGTATATTCACAGCTCTGTGTAGCTGTCACAATGTTAGAATATTTCCACTCCCCCCCAAGAAAACAAACCTGTATCCTTTTCCTACCAGCCCATGATCCCCCATTCCCCACCCCAGCCTCAGGCAACCACTGACCTCCTTCCTTAGACCCTATAGATGCACCTGTTGTGGGCACTTCACACAGTGACTCACACACCACGTGGTCTTTGTGACTGGCTCTTTTGTTTTCAAGGTCTGTCCATGTTGCAGTGTGTGTCAGTGCGTCACTCGTGTTTCTGGCTGTATGGATGGAGCACACTTTGTGTATTCGTTTATCCATTGATGGGTATTCGGGGCTATTTCCGCCTTTTGGCTATTAGAAATAGTGCTGATATAAACAGTTGTGTTGGGGTAGACATACATATGAGATTATTTCTCTTGGGTAGATAGCTAGCGGTGGAATATCTGGGTAGTATGCTGACACTATGCTCAACGTTTAGAGGAACTGTCAAGCTGTTTCCCAGTCTTCTCAGTTTCCTGTATAGGTTTTTGGGGGGTGGGGGTTGCACACATGTATGTGTATATGTATACTCTTTTCATTCATTTATTCATCAAATGCGTTTATTTCTGCCTTGACTATATTTTGCCGTTTTTGCTTCCAAAGGCCCTAGCAATTTTGTATTCATAATTTTGTATTCTTTTTCTTAAAGGAGGCCTCCCCAAATTGTATAAACTTCAGCGTGCCCCCCACCCAAACTTGGGGCATCATGCAACTGGGAGGAGAGGGATTAGTGGGTATGACAGCCCTGTGCTGTCCCGCTCTCTCTGCTCACCACACATTGGAATAGAGAGGATTCCCTCGCCCCTCTCACCTGCTGACGGGCACTCAGGCTGCTTCCAGATCTTAGCTATGGTGAATGGTGCTGCTGTGAACATAGGGGTGCATCTGTCCTTTCTGATTGGCGTTTCTGGTTTCTTGGGATATATTCCTAGAAGTGGGCTCACTGGGTCAAACGGGACCTTCATTTTTCATTTTTGAGGAAACTCCATACTGTCTTCCACAGTGGTTGCACCAGTCTGCATTCCCACCAGACGTGCACGGGTTTCCTTTTTCTTCGCATCCTCACAGCACTTGTTCTTTGTTGATTTGTTGATGGTAGCCATTCTGACAGGTGTGAGATGGTACCTCATTGTCGTTTTGATTTGTATCTCTCCAATGATTAGTGACTTTGAGCATTTTTTCAATTGCCTCTTGGCCTTCTGTATGTCCACTTTCGAAAAGTGTCTATTTAGGTCATTTGCCCATTTTTTAAATAAAATTATCTTCCATTTGTTAAGTTGTATGAGTTCCTTATAAATTTTGGAGGTAAACCCTGTATCAGATGCATCGTTTGCAAATATGTTCTCCCATGCAGTGGGCTCTCTGTTGCTTTGTTGATGGTTTTGCTGTGCAGAAGATTTTTATTTTTATGTAGTTCCATCCGTTTATTTTCCCTTAGTTTCCATGTATCAATAAACGTATTGCTATGACATATGTCTGATATTTTGCTGCCTATGAATTCTTCTAGGATGTTTATGGTTTCCCGTCTTACAGTTAAGTCTTTTATCCACTTTGAGTTTATTCTTCTGAATGCTGTAAGCTGGTGGTCTAGTTTCATATTTTTGCATGAATCTGTCCAATTTTCCCAACACCATTTATTGAAGAGACTGTCTTGACTTCATTGTATGCTCGTGCCTCCTTCGTCAAGTATTAATTGAGCACAATGGCTTGGGTTGATCTCTGTGTTGTCTGTTCTGTTCCATCGGTCTATATGTCTGTTCTTGTGTCAGTACCAGTTTTGAGAACAGTGCTTTGTAGCATACTAATAACTTGATGCCAGGGCTGACTTGAGTGGCCAATGAACAAATTACTCAGACTCACGTTTCTGTGAAAGAGAGGCTTAGGGGCTTGCTTATTTTAGGAGTAAATAGCCCTGATTGCCTGCCTCCTTGGCTTTTTATTGTAACAGCAGCGTGAACTCAAATTAACCTCTAGATACAATAAGCATCCTTGAGAAAGCACAGGCTTTTACACGGTCAGATCTTTAAAGACTAGACAGAGATTCTAGAAAAACACCTGGGGGGGAGGGATCAGACTTGTTTGGAAAAGTAAAGGTAAGAGCTGCTGCCTTCGGCAAGGTCCCCTAAGGCCCCCCCAACCTTTGGGAGAATCCTCCTTACAGACATTTCAACCAAGTTCTATGCTTCCCCACATCTCCCGCTTTTTTGTTTTGCTGGCTGCAGAGGGAGGCAGCGAACTTCCTGCTTTGGAGGGTTGGGGTCTGCGAAGTGCGTTCACTGCTTGAGTTCTGATTTTATAGACTATAAGAAAAACAAAGAGAATTATAGTGACAGCAAGGGTTAGTCCGATAGGTACCAATTGGTTTTAGTAAACCATGTGGTGGGGTCTGTCCACTCTAAATGCTCCTTTATGATATTCCAAGCAGTAGTCTATTGATGGCAAGTAAGGACTCTAATTTGCCTAATTACTCTAAGTAATTTTTAAAGTAATTAAGTTTTTTATTAACATAACATAATTATTTTATAGATCAACCGAAAGACTTGTATACATACATAAAAGTACAACCAATGGACACAAAACTCTGGGGAGGGAGTGTATGTATTGGGAGGGGCAATGTTAAAATATGTACACAGATAATAATTTAATTTAAAAAATGTAAAAAAAATAAAAAAATAACATAATTATTTTAATAATCTATATTGTAAGAGGCTGGTGGTCATAACGCTGTAGTCACCAGGAGGCACATGGAGCACCTCTTGGTCCCTACTCCCCCCCTCGCCCAGCCCAGAACAGAAGTTCTTGGGGCACAGTGGGAGGCGGGCGCCTCATGCGATTCCGCACACTGGGCCTCTAGTGTGTACATAAAATCTTTGCTTCTTAGGCAAATACAGTAAAAACCTTTTTCCCCCCCTTACTTTTAGAAATAGGCTTATGTTTCCAATGGAAAATATACTTATATTTTTAAGAAGCATAACAGAGATAACATGACCTTGGCAGCTCCTAGGAGGCTGGAGAAGGGTGGGTGTGTCTGTGGGGGGACAGCAGGCCATGGGTTTGTTCCCTGGAATGCAGTGACTCCTGGGCCTCTAACGGCTTTAGTGTAAAAGTACCAGTTTTTTCTAACAAAGAGAGTGCCCCCACACTCACACCTTCCCCGCTGCTGCCATCTCTGCAGCCTATTCAAGGGCACTTTTGTAGCTCCAGTCCTTTAGGATGAATACTTGGGGAATTTAATAATTATTTCCCACATTTTTTCTTTCTGAGTAGACTAACAATATGAAATCGTGTATATAAGAAGAGATCTTAAAAACAGAAATAAAAAGTCCCTACAGTAAATGAACGAGTACTCACACACAAAAAAAAGAGAGACTGGGACATTAACTTAGAATCTTATTTTATACCAGTGGCCTGGTGCATGACATTCGTGCATGGGGATGGAGGGATCCCTCAGCCTGGCCTGCACCCTCTTGCAGACTGGAACCCTTCAGGGGATGTTCACCTGCCAGCTTAGGCCTGCTCCCTGCGGGGTCCTCTCTCTTAGTTTCCTGGTGAGTCTGGCTAGAGGTTCGACAATCTTATTTATCCTTTCAAAGGATTTTTTTTTTTTTTATCTCTATGTCATTTATTTCCTGCCTGGTCTTTATTATTTCCTTTCTTGTACTTTTCTGGGCTTTTCTTGCTGCTCTCTTTCTAGTTCTTTAAGTTGTATGGTTAGATAATTTATTACCAGTTTTTCTTGTTTTGGGGGGTAGACCTGTAATGTTTTTTGAGGTAGACCAGTTCCTTCTCAGGACTGCTTTCACTGTGTCCCATAGATTTTGAATTGTTGTGTTTTCATTGTCATTTGTTTCAAGGGTGTTTTTAATTTCTGCTTTGATCTCTTTGGTAACCCATTCATTGTTTAATAGCATGCTATTTAGCCTCCACGTGTTTGTTTTTTATTGTTTTTGTTGGAGTTTATTTCTAATTGTATGTCATTGTGATCTGAAAAGATGCTTGATATGATTTCAATCTTCTTGAATTTGTACAGACTTAGCCTGTGTCCCAATATGTGGTCTATTTTTGAAAATGTCCCATGTGCACTTGCGAAGAATGTATATTCCATAGCTTTGGGATGAAAAGTTCTGAAGATGTCAATTAGTTCCATCTGATCTAGTGAGTCCTTTTGGATTGCTGTTTCTTTGCTGTTTTTTTCTTTTTTCTTTTTTCTTTTTACTAGAAGATTTATCCAGTGATGTCAATTGGGTTTTAATTCCAGGTTGACGTTCTCCGATTTAGTTGTTTTTCTAGTCTGGCTCCAGGATGAGGTACATGACACAACTGCCTATTGGGGCCACCATTTTCTTTCCTCCTTCTCAAAACCATCATCTCATTTTAGAGATAAGAAAACTGAGGCCTGTGGAGAGCCATGCCAGATGCAGAATTCAGGGCTCCTCACACCTTCCAGCTCAGCCTGACACCTTGTCCTGCCTTTCTCCACAGGCTCTGAGTCCAAGCCATGTGTCCAGTCTTTTGACACTGGGGCTGCAGACTTGACCACCAGCAGCAGCTGTGGATCCTGGAGGCCTGGGCACCTGGACTTCTTCTCCACCATGGGGGATGAGCAGGCAGGTGTCTGATGCTGAGGCAGGCAGAAGCGAAGGCACCAGGACCAGCAAGTACACTTTACTTAGCACCTGCCTGTCACCAGGCACTTGGTGTGCACCATCTCAGGGGACCTCATTATAACCTGGCAAATTAGTTATTATCCCATGTTACAGACGGGGAAACTGTAATCATTTTGGAACAAGAAGGGAGAGGGAAGGGTGGGAGGGAGGAAAGATGGGCAGAGAGATGAATGGGTGCATGGACAGCTGGACAATGTATGGAAAAAAGGAAGGAAGGAAGGAAGGAAGGAAGGAAGGAAGGAAGGAAGGAAGGAAGGAAGGAAGGAAAGGAGGGAGTAAGGACAGATAGACAATGGATGAAAGGATGGATGGAAGGGTGATTGGATGGGTGAGTGGGTATGCAGACGATGGATGTAAAGGGAAGAAAAAGCTCACATGGGAGCTCTGAGCTGGAGCCACCTGCAGAGCGGTCCAAAGCCAGGCTGAGATGGCCAAGTCATACAGTCACACATCAGTCAGTGTAGCAGGTGGGCGACTCAGGGAAGGATGTGATTTCCCAGAGGGGGCTGACAGCGGCAACCATCTGCTGACAGTCCCCACAACATCTGGGCAGCAGGTCCTCACTGAAGGGATCTGCGTGGCATTTTACACTGCCCACCACTCTAAGGAAGAGCATTCTGTGTATCCACCTCTGTCATCCTGTATAAGAAAAGCCTAATGTGCAAATTGTCCCCTCGACCAGGAGTTCAACTGGGAGTTCCACCAGGGGGTGGGCTGGCCAGCCACCTGCCTGCGGCCCCTCCCTCTGGATGGTCCCACCCCAGCTGGCGGTGGCAGCAGGCAGCCAGGGAAAGGGAGGCTCCAGCTGGCAGCCAGCAGCCACGAGGGACCCTACCCATGCACAAATTTCATGTACTGGGTCTCTAATCTATATATATAAAAGCCAAGTGACCAGAACACCAGAACAGATCAGCATGACCAGTGGTAATGACACACACTATAGTGGCCAACCAGCCCCAATTGGCCCCCCCAAAACCTCTCCCAGCCCTTCCCCCAGCCCAGGCTGGCCCCCAATCAATCTCCCCCACCCTGATGGGGGAAGGGCCAGCCGGCCAACCTCCCATGTCCCCTCCCTCCACTAGGCAGGCCCCATCAGCCCCCATCCAGGCCGGCCGGCCAGACCCCACCCATGCACGAATCCATGCACCAGGCCTCTGGTTTCATATAAGAGACGCTAGAGCCAAGCAGGGAACTAATTGGCTCAAGTGTCAGGGACTATCCAGGATAAACAAGTAGGACAGAGATGCCAATTGAGTTACAGCTCCTTCCAGGGTTCTGGGCCTCTTGAGTAGGAGCCATGGGCTGCAGACAAACAGGCCAACAAGATGGTGAGGGAGAAACTGCCTGGGGGAGCAGTGAGACTCAGCAATGCAGGGAGGCTCTGCACCCAACACCTCCGTGTCTCAGCGTGGCACTCAGTCACCATCGCTGGAGGCAAGGGGAGCCATGGTCCTTGCCCCTCCTTCCCATTCCAGCCCCAGCCCTGTGAGTGCCACCCTGCACAGCCTCAGTTCCGTCCACATCTCTCCCTCCTTCTCCAGGCCCCTGGCAGAGGCCGCCATAACCACTCTCAGAGGTGTCCTCCCTGCTCCACCAGCTCCCGTCTTGCCCTCCTCCACCCACCACCAAGCCCATCTTGGCTCTGCATCTTGCATAATCTTTCCAAAGGCAAATCACAGCCCCTAAGTCCCTGCCACCACTGTGAGCCTGAAGGTTAAATTCTTAGCTGGCCCACCAGGCCTCCTGGTCCAGCCCAGCCCCTCCCTCCACATCTCCAGCCACCAGGAACTCTTCTCCTGCCTGCTTCTGGAGGTGCTGTGAGCTCTCAGGCTGTGGCTTCTGAACGTGCTGCTGGGTTTTCTTGCCTGAAATGCCCGCACCCATGGCCTCTGCCTACCCAACTCCCATTCATTCCTCGGGCTTCACGGCTGTCACTTCCTCTAGGAAGCTGGCCTTGATTGATTGATTCAATTTCACATTTAGTAGGACTTTTTATTGAAACCCTATGAACTAATAAGATGTAGATCATTTTAAGATACATGAAACGTGGTCCTGGCCGGTGTGGCTCAGTTGGTTGGCATTGTGTCCTGTATCAAAGGTTCGCCTGTTGGAATCCTGGTTATGGTACAAGCCCAGGTTGCAGGCTCATAGGAGGCAACCAATCAGTTTCTTTCTCACACATTGATGTTCCCCCTCACCACCACCTCTCTCTCCCTTCCTCTCTCTCTGAAAGTCAATTAAAAAAAAATGTATGACACTTGTCCAAAATGGACAGTTAAAGAAATAATTTTTATGTCATGTGGAGACTATTTTATGTGGTAGGAACTAGGGGTTTTTTGGTTGGGTTTTGGCTGTGGAAGCTGTCTAAAGGTTTCCTGGAACATCACCTATTGTAATTGCTGGATTTCATCCCCAAAGCTCCAGCAGCCAAGGGCTGCGTGGCTTGCCCAGAGAAAGGGCCCTGACTCCTGAAATAGGAAACTTGGGACATAAAGACAGTAACCACCTGATATCTGCTCCCACCAGTCGAGCAATGTGCAAACCTTGTCTCATGTTACCTGCAGAGCCATCAGCCCATTTTAGAGATGAGGAAACTGAGGCCCACAGGAACTTGGCCGTGGGGACACTGAGCTGGCTAATAAAGCCATAACAGGACTGCAGACCTTGAGTAAGGACTTTCTACCAGGCTGCCATTCGAGAACCATCCCTCCTGGTATTTATCTGCTATTTTATTTAAAACCGGCTCCCTTTGGCCATGGTGAGATAGTACAAGGGAAACAGTATGTATGCAGTTGCTTTGTGTGCGGTATTTAAACCTGCGCAGTGAGCCCATCTGCAGAGGGGGATCCCGGGCTGTCTGGCCTCTGGGTCTGCACGGGGAGCCCATTCCCCAAGGTTCTCCCTCCACGGCCCAGAGAGCAGAGCCTGAGCCAGCTGCAGTGATGAGTCAGAGGCCCCGAGAGGCCCCCGTGGGCCGGTCACACGTTCTCTCACCAGGAGATGCTGGAGGGAAGGTGTGGCCCCAGTGAAGCCTGCCAGTTCCTCCAGCAGTGTGCCAGCTGCACTGAGCGGGCATCCTGTGCCCTCCGCCTGCCACCCGGCTCTGGCCGGGTGCCCACGGCTGCCTCCCGTGAGGGACACCAGATGCGAGAGAGGGAGAGGGTCCCGGCCCAGGCCCAGAGGCTGTCCTGACGTGTTTATATGTATAGGAGGATGGAAGCCAGAACCACAAGGAAATGTTCGGGGCAGTGGCTGGGGAGAAAGGAGGTCGCTAGAGGCTGTGCAGGCACCCGGGGTGGGACTGGAGATCTGACAGGAGGCTGCTGCCAAGGTCCCTCCCAGGAGGCCAGGCGTTTTGACAGAGACTGAAGAAGGGGCCCTGGTGAGCCAAGGACAGAGGGCAGGAGGGGAGGCAGAGAAGGAGAGGCCGGGGAGGTGGGAGGGAAGCAGACCTGGGCACAAAGGAGAGATTCCGGAAGAAAGGAGGCCTGGAAAAGTGTGGCAGGTCCTTGAAAAATCAAAAATGCAATTACCATGCGCTCCAGCCATTCCACTTCTGAATATCTGCCCCAAAATCCTGGAAGCAGGGACTCACACGTATCGGCACCCCCAAGTCCAAAGCAGTGTTATCCACAACAGCCAGCATGTGGAGACAGCCCAGTGCCCCCAGCAGATGACGCATGCACACCACGTGCTCTGTCTACACACACTGTGCCGCCCACCCACACGGCGGCCTGTTATCCGGCCTTAAAAAGGAATGGAATCCCGCACTTGCGAGAACAGATACACCTTGACAACATCAGGCCAAATGACATAAATCAGACACAAAGTGATAAATACCCTGTGGTTTCCCTGAGAGGAGGTCCCTGGAGGCATCCCCTCCACAGAGATGTGGAGTAATGGTCCCCAGGGGGCGGGAGGGGGCGGGAGGGCGCGGGAGGGAGGAGGGAAGGGGAGTGGTGTTGGACGGAGACTGAGTGTCTATTTGGGAGGATGACAAGCTCTGGAGCTGGATGGTGGTGACATGACGTGAGTGCACTGAATGCCACGGAGCTGCACACGTACAAATGGCAGGAACTGGTCCACTTTCTCATGCATATTTTGCCACAATCCCAAGAATGACGAGGGAGAGGTCAGAATGCAGAGAGAGCCAAGTGGGTGAGGTCAGGAGAGCAGGCCGGGCCGCACGCTCTCCCTCCCTTACTCCGAGCGCGTGCGGCCTCCGCTGCCTCCTGCCAGCCAAGACTCCTCGGACCCAGAGCCTGGCTTCCTGTTAGCAGGTATTTTTCCACTTCGAACTGGAAACGTCCCCACCCCAGGTCTCTGCCGGAATCCCTCCCTTCTCCCTCATCCGGTAAAAAGACAGGCCGTGTCACATGGTCCGGGGGTAGGGTTGCAAGATTGCACAAATAAAATGACAGGACACCCAGCTGGATTGAAATGTCAAACATTGCCACATTTGTGATATACCTATACTAGAAAACTTACTTGTTGTTTATGTAAAATTCAGTTTAACCAGGAGTCCTGTATTTTATCCAGGAATCCTCTCCAAGGGCCCTCTTGCAGAATTCATGCAGGGGACACCCTCAGGCCACCAGCTGGGACAGCCCATTGAGGGCTTCCTGAGATCACATGACACCTGGGGTTTACCCATCTGGAGACGGTCCTAACAGAGGCCTGGAAAGGGACAGAGGGACACCTGGCCTAACCTCAAGAGGTTGGGACAAGAGCCTGGAGGGCATGCCAAAGTTGGGTTTTGTAAGATGAATAGGAGTTCACCAGGCTGACTCTAAGTGGGCTGGGAGAAAAGGGTCTCCAAGAAGAAGAAAAGGCAGGTGTTGCAAAATTGACAAACAGAATGACTGGGAGGAAGAGAGAGAAGGGCAAAGGTAGCAGGGGGAAAGGAGCAGAGATCAGAGTAAAGAAAGAACATAGAGCTTGGGTCCAGACAGACCAGAGTTTGAGCTTCGCTCTGCTGTTTACGGACTGCGGACTGCGTGGCTCTGGGTTAGTCCTTTCTCCTCCCTGCCGCTTTGTCTCCGGATCCGGAAAATACTGCCCCCTGGTGGAGCTGCTGTGGGAGACACATCTGCGCAGCTGGTGTCTAACCCTGCCTGGCATGCTCTGCCTCCTGGGTGGGAGGGAACCTGAGGCCACGCCTGGCCAGAAGCAGGGGCAGCCGACCCTGGAGCCTTTCGTACTGTGCTGTGCGGAGGAGCTGTGGCGTTAGGAGCAGCCGGGGAGCTAGGAGGGAAAGGCAGTGGAAGGAGATGTGTCCGAGTCCTCTCTAGGAGGGGGCAGAGGTGGGGGAGCTGAGCGAGGAGGGTGCGGGGTCTAGTACTGCAATTCCTTAAATGCTGAGAATGTGATCATCACGAATCTCCTTGCATTGCTTTTGAGTTGCTTTAAAAATTACATTAAGACGTTATCTTGATTCCTGAGTTTTGGGTCCCCCCTTCAGCTCTGTGCCTCGGGCAGATGCCACACCCTAGTCCCAGCGTGGTGGGGAGACTTAGGGCCAGGAGCAGCTGAGCCCCAAGCAGCCCGGAGACCAGGAGCCTGCAGGCAGCGCAGCAAGGACAGCGCTCCTCTGTGCGCTGGGCGCTCGCCAGCTTGCATCTGCAGCCTGATCTCCCCTGAGCCTTAAAGGAGCAGGGCGAGCAGCAGCGCAGGGCTACTGAGGACCATGGGTCCATCGGAAACTCAGAGGAGGCGGGAGCCCTTTGGGGGAATAAGGCCTAGAAGGCCCAGGTGAGACAGGGGCCTGTGGGACTGCCCTCCACCCGTGCCCCCCCACCCCTACCCCCTGAGAAGGCGCTGAGCTCAGGTGGGACAGAGGGATACGGGCAGGCTGGGTCTGGGGCCTCTGCTGCCTCCGCCAATGTGCTTTTCTTCCACCCCCTGCAGGAGGACGCGGTTCCGGGGCCGCTCGGGGACAGCACAGAGGACCTCAGCCTGGACTGGGGGGCCCTTCAGGGCAGCCAGTATCTCCAGGACCTGGGCCTCGAGGCCCCTGCCCACGGCCAGACTGGAGCTGCCGGGGCCAGGGACCCGCCCAGCGGAGCAGCAGGAAGCGGGTCGGCCTCCTCCGGCTCCGCGGGCCCCCGGGGCCGGCCGCGGAGGGGCAGCTGGGCGAGGCCCCGCAGCTGCTCGGACAGCTGGCAGAGGTTGGTCCCCGCCACGGAGCCTTCCGTGACCCCTCTGGGATCAGGGGCGTCAGCACCAGCAGAGGCAGCCCCCTTCCAGGACACACGTGCATGCCCACACGCACATCCACGTGCACGGGAAAACATGAGTGTGCGCAAGCCCCAAACGACACTGTGCACACACCGCGGGCAGGGGCGAGCCCACGTGTGCACGCTTGCCCACACACACCCAGTGTACCGCTGCCCACGTTCACGCACAGGCTGGCACATGCACTCGCTCTGACCCACATCTATTGGTTCACATGTCCCACTTCAGGACAGTGGCACGTGCATGCACAAAGCCACAGATGCCCTTGGAATCAAGACACACATTACCCTGGCTGGTTTGGCTCAGTGGATAGAGCATCGGCCTGCAGACTGAAGAGTCCCAGGCTCTATTCCAAACAAGGGCACATGACCGGGTTGTGGGCTTGATCCCCAGTGGAGGGGGAAGGGGTTGCAGGAGGCAGCCGGTCAATGACTCTCTCACATCACCGATGTTTCTCTCTCTCCCTCTCCCTTCCTCTCTGAAATCAATAAAAAAATATATATTTTTAAAAAGACACAAATGAATGCTCTACTTCACACACACCACAGTGGCAGCCCTAAAGAGTGGAGGCGGGTGCGTTAGCCACCACCCACCCAACCCCGCAACCCTCTCACCCCAACCAGAAAGCCAGTCCCTGTAAGAATGGGGGTCCGTGACGCACATGTAGCTTCAGCAAATCCACCAGCCTGGCTCCTCCCCGCGCCCCCTCTGATACAGGGAGATCTGGGCCCCGCTCCATGGCCAGAGTGCCATCCTCAGGTCCTCCCCTGCCCCCCCCCCCCCCCAGATGCTGGAGCCGAGCGGCCGGTGCCGGTGGAGGAGCCCTGCTGAGCCCTGAACCCCTCCCTTCTCCCCCAGGTGCAGCCTCGACGCCTCGGCCGTGAGTGAGGGGCCGTGTCTCCCGCGGACGCTGGCTACCCTTGCTCTGAACCTTCCTGGGGAGAGTCCGCAGGCCTGGACCAAGGAGCGTCTCTCTGGGGGCGGGACCCCAGCGGAGCACCCAGGCAAGGTGGGTGCGGCCTGCAGCCGCCCGTCAGTCACACTCCTCCGCGGGGGAGGAGAGCCTCACCATGGGACACCTGCCATGGCGGGTCCGTGCTGGGGCCCACGCCTGGGGAGCCCTGACGTTGCAGCCGGGCCTGAGGATCCAGAGCGCAGCCCATTGGCCGGGGGAGGGGGCTCGGCAGGCGGCCTCGCAGCGGGAAGGGGGGAGTCTGTGCTCGGAGTCTGCACCCCGAGGCCTCTTCTCAGTCCGGTCTCCGGCCCACACCGGGAGGGAGAGCCGAGCGCCTTGGCTCCTGGCTGGCCTGCGGACGGGCTGGTACTGGAACCTCACTCACAGTGGCAGGGGCAGGGGCAGCCCGGGCAGGGGGCCGGCGGCACACCTCTGGGGAGGGTGCGGGTGCGGCTCCAGCTCCGGGTCTGGCTGCTGGGAGCCCACTGCCCTGTGCCGGGGGCGCCCGCCTGGGTCGGAGCCTTCCTGCAGCCCTGGCACCGCCGGCTCAGTGAGCTGCTTGTTCCCGCAGGAAGGTGCCGGCCTGGAGGAGAGGGTGAGGTCACAGTCGGTGCCCGTGACCTTGGATGAGATCAGCGCCGTGGAAAGCTCTCGGGCTTCCGAGGTGCCCGCTCGAGCTGCCCAAGGTAGCCAGGCCGGGGTCCCGCACTCACACCGAGCAGGGCGCTGGGCCCGGGGATGTGGAGTCCTGGGGGAGGGGTTCCAGAGCAGGGGAGGGCCTCTGCCCCTCCCTCCCCTCCCCTCCCCTCCCCTCCCCTTCCCCACAGGTCTCGAGCCAAGGCCCCACCACCGCCATGGCCTGCCTCCCTTCTCACTCTGACTCTCTCTTTGGTCGCCCCCTCTTGTCTCAGACCCTGGGTCCTGAGAGTTGTGTCTCCCAATGTCAGGCAGGCCTGCAGGCCAGACCCACACCGTGAACTGAGACAGTGTGCCTCCTCCAGCCACTGGACACACACACACACCCTGACACACACACACACACCCTGACATATACACCCTGACACACACACACCCTGACACACACACACCCTGACACACACACACCCTGACACACACACACACCCTGACACACACACACACACCCTGACACACACACACCCTGACACACACACACACACCCTGACATATACACCCTGACACACACACACACCCTGACATAATACACCCTGACACACACACACCCTGACACACACACACACCCTGACACACACACACCCTGACACACACACACACACACCCTGACACACACACACACCCTGACATAATACACCCTGACACACACACACCCTGACACACACACACACCCTGACACACACACACCCTGACACACTCACACACACACCCTGACACACACACACACCCTGACATAATACACCCTGACACACACACACCCTGACACACACACACACCCTGACACACACACACCCTGACACACACACACACCCTGACACACACACACCCTGACACACTCACACACACACACACACACACACACCCTGACATATACACCCTGACACACACCCACCCTGACACACACACCCACACACCCTGACACACTCTCACACACACACACACACACACACTCACTCACTCACACACAACACATCCTAAGCTCTTGTGAAAAGCTGGGGATACCTCCATCCCTGCCCTCTTCCCTCTCCCGCCTCTCCCCCTGAGAGTGGCAGGGCCCGGGGCCATCTCCAGTTCTGCAGGGCGGTCAGCGGCGCCCCCTGCAGGAGCCGGGGTGGGGGCGCTCCTCCCGCCCGCGCTCCTGACATGGGTCACTCCCAGGCCTGGAGCCCCCGGGGCCGGAGCGCCTGGAGGAGGACCGCGTGGAGCCAGATCACCTGTGAGTTCTGCCCCCGCCGGGAGGAGCCCAGGACCGTGCCGGCAGCCACGGTGCCTCTCGGTCCCCATGACCTCATCCTCTCCCACCCACCTTCCCCCGGGGAGGGACAGGCCCTCCAGAGGTTCCCACAGGCCGCGGGCGGGCCGGGCTCCTGGGCAGCGTCTGCTTCAGGACCACGGGGTGGCCACCCCTCTCCGGGGGGCAGGCTGTAATGGGCGCTGTCATTCCCGCCCAGGCTGATGGTGCAGCAGGTGCTGCGGGAGCTCCGCCAGTACCATGGGTGAGCGCAAGGAGGTGGCGAGGGGCGGGGGAGGACAGGAGTGGGCACAGGGGACGGGGCGGGATGGGGACAAGTGCGGGAAAGGACAGGCAGTAGGCGGCTGCGGAGAACACAGGGTGGAGGACAGATGTGGAGGGACAGGTAGAAGAGGAAGGGGTGGGAGTCAACAGGTGTGGGGGGGAATGGGGCAGGACAGGTGGGAGGGGGGCATGGGAGGGGAGGCTGGTAGGAGGGGGGCTGGTGGGAGGGGGGCCAGCGGGGAAGGGAGAAGGGCCATGGAGGGAGGAGAGAGCCGCGCTGGCCACGAAGCCTCTGCAGATGGAACCGATGCATCGCCGCCAACACTGCGTCTGTTAGGAAAGCTCCCGGTTCGCTGATTCTGTTCCACCCGGCGTGGCCCTGCCCTCTGTCGGAGCACATGCCTCGATGACCACACATGCAAGCCCGCATGGAGGAAGGGCGGGCTCTGGGGCCATGGCAGCGGGCAGCGGGCTCACACCTAACCGCAGACACCCTGGGGGAGAGGGCGTGGGGTGGGGAGGGGCTGCTGACCGGAGCCTGTCCCTCTGGTCCTGCAGGGCTCAGCAGAGGGCTCACCTGTCGGTCAGCCCCAGAGAAGCCCCCTCCAGCCTCACCTGGTTTGAGTTCCTGTCTGAGTAAGTAGGCAGAGCTGCTGGGGGTGGGGGGGGGGAGAATTGGGGGACGGGTGGGAGGGGGGGAGAGACTGCGGGCGGGGCAGGTGGGAGCCCAGCACAGCTTTGCACAAGCGCTACTGGCAGCCCTCGGACCCTGGCCTGGGCTGGGGGCAGGAGCTGGGGGCCCCATCCTCTTGCTGGAACCACCAAGGGCAACAGCAGGGGTGAGGGTGGGGCTCCTCAGACACCTGGGGTGAGGGAGGAAGGCTTCCTGGAGGAGGTGGCAGCTGGGACTGGGCTCTGAGGGAAGGTCCAGTTCGCCAGTCAGGGGCTGAGGATGGGGGAGAAATCAGTGCCTTCTGGCCTGGGGACTGGGGTCAAGGTGGGCTGGGAGGAGGGACAGCGCAGGAAGTCAGCAGGGGCCAGTCACCTCTGCAAAGCTGAGGCCACAGCCGCCTAGTGACTGAGGACGGTGAGCACAGATGGCGGGGCAGGCAGGGTGCAGGCTGGGGGTGCAGAATCCCCGCCAGGGAGCAATTCTGCCCAGCTGGGCTTGTTTGCCATCGACCTAACAAGTATTTATTAAGTAAGATGTGCCGGTGATCAGGCGAGCCAGGGCAGTGATACGGGGAGGGAAGGAGGGCAGGGTTTGAGAGAAATCCCGCAGGAAGAACAGGCAGGATTTATGGGCTCATTAGATCTGGAGGGGGGGGGGGTGATCAGAGGGAGAAGCAGGGATGGCAGCCCAGGCCCATCAGGGGACCTCAAGCTTGAGATCATGTCCTTGCCCACCTGCAAACCCAATCTCTAGGGTCCCTGGGACTTTGCAAACAGCTTCAGATGTCTGATGAGTGAGAGAAGGAGGGAGAGAGGTGGGGCAACAGAAGAGGTGGAACAGGAGGAGGAGGCCACAGGGAGGTGAAGGCAGGTCAATTCCAGGATTGAAGTGCAGGACTGGCTCAGAATGGCCCTCTGACCCTGCTGCTCTCCCCTCCCCCACCTTCCCACCCTCAGGAGCGAGGACGGAGCCAGCAGCATCGAGAGGAGTGACAGGGGCACCACCAGGGTGAAGGGCAGACTCAGCTCCCTCCGCAGTCGAGTCACCAGGCACAAGGACAAGGTCAGGGGGTAGGGCAGGGCCCCTCTGCCTGCCTCGCACGTCAGCGAGCCCTGGCCCTGGAGCCTGCGATCCTCAGTCTCCCCTCTGTCCCCAGGGAAAAAGCCCGGGCCCTTTGAAGGACAAGGATCAGGATGCGCGAGAGAGAAGGGAGCGTGTCGACGGCCACCAGCTGTCCCGAGGAGCCGCCTCTGGCCACTCGGCCTGCCCCCCGAGCAGCCCTCCCGCGCTCAGCCCCGGTAAGTCTGTCCCGCCTGTCCCCGCGGGCGGCAGGCCCTTCACTTCTCTAAGCCGCTCCTGTGGCCGCCTCCGCTCTCTGCACTCCTGCCCCATTCCGCCCTCGCCAAGGGCGGGCGGGCTGACCGTGGCTCCTGGAGAGCACCAGCCTCCGTCCCCAAGGGCAGGGACCGTTTGGTTAGCGGGGGGCCCCCAAATTCCCTTTCAAGTTTCACGTTGGTCGTTATCAAAATCCTCTTGCGAAGGGTGAACTCGGGCAGGGAGTTAGCTGGCGAGGGCTGCAGGCGAAGTCCTCCGTGCGGCCTGTTCTCTCTCAGCTCCTCCCGCAGGCTCTAGGGATGAGGTCAGACAGCCTGGGTCTCTCTCCGTGCGTCTGGCCGCCCCCGGGCCTATGGCCGCTGAACTGCAGGCTCATATCCTGTCTTGCCTGCCTGTGTGCCTGTCTCCCAATGTCCCCTTTCCTAAAGGACGCTAGTCGGCCACATTGCATTAGGGGCCCATCCTCCTCCAGTGCCACCTCATCTGAACATACGACGTCAGCAATGACCCCCTTTCCAAATAAGTCCACCTTCTGAGACACTGGGGGGACGAGGACTGCAACCTCTGAATGGCAGTGTTACCAGGAAGGGGACTGGCCCGGAGTGGGTCTGCCTAGGGCCTTGGTCGGCAAACTCATTAGTCAACAGAGCCAAATATCGACAGTACAACGGCTGACATTGCTTCTGAAAGCCACATTTTTTAAACTTAAGCTTCTTCTAATGCCACTTCTTCAAAATAGACTTGGCCAGGCCGTGGTATTTTGTGAAAGGGCCACACTCCAGGGGCCAAAGAGCCGCATGTGGCTCTCGAGCCGTGGTGTGCCACATGAGCCTAGGGCCAGCTGGTGCTGTGTGGGCTCTTGACTTGGTGTGGGACATATTTCACAGCAGGAGTCCGGGGACCACGAGGGACCGTTAGTAAAGCTGGGGCAGGAAACAAAGGGCTCAGCGTGGAAGCAGCAGGAGAGCCAGGCTGGGCCGTCCTCACTCTCGGGGAGTCAGGGAAAAGGGGGCCGTGGGGCCAGGCTCAGGGCTTAGCCCGGACGAGCTGCCGCTGCCCATTGCTCCCCGGGTTGCAGGTTCCTTAACGTTCAAGAGATGCATGTCTGTGGGGGAAGGAGAGGGAAAGGGAGGGGCGGGGCCGCTCCCCGAGGAAGAGCGCGGGCTGGGTCCTTTGTCTCGAGGCTGAGAGAGAGAGAGAGAGAGAGAGAGAGAGAGAGAGAGACTCTTCCTGAAACGGTAATACAGCCGTCCAGGTGTGGGGCCTTGAACCGGTGGCGGATTCTGAAGGCCTCTGACTTTCGGGGAGGCTTCCCTCCCCGTGTCTGTCGTGGTAGACGAAGTCTGGCCTTTTAACTGGCTTCTAATAGTTGGGCCCGCCCCCATCCCCAGTTTCCTAACAGCTTCGGTCCCTTAAGACAGTGTTTTTCAACCTTTTTTGGGCAAAGGCACACTTGTTTCATGAAAAAAATCACGAGGCACACCACCATTAGAAAATGTTAAAAAATTTAACTCTGTGCCTATATTGACTATATATAAAGTAATTCTCTTGAATAGGAATCAAATAAACACAAAGAAAGTATTTTATAATTACTTTATTATGAAATATTAAGTAAACAAAATAGTGAAAAATTATAAAATTCTTGTCTTGTCTGCACCTACGGCACACCAGGCAACATCTCGCAGCACACTAGTGTGCCGCGGAACAGCGGTTGAAAAACGCTGCCTTAAGAGGCCTGGAGCAGGAGACAGTGTCTCTTCAGGAAGAAATGAGCCCAGCCAGCGTTTCTGGGATCAAATTCTATTTCCCACAAGTTTCCAAGATCCAGGGACAAAACCCGTTTATCTCTCGGAGCACTGTGCATGTGGGGCTTCTCTCTATGAGCTATCCCTGCGGGGGAGCACTAGTGACCGGCGGTGACATTGTGTGACTTACTCCCCAGCCAGCCGCGGGCTCAGGCAGGGCCTCCCACCTAACAGGCGCAGGGCAGACTGCCGCTCGCCGCAGCAGCCACGGAGCAGAGGGCGGCTGCTTCTTTGGGAAGTAGCTTTTTGGGGTGACCTTTCTCTGTCCAGGAATTCTCTGTTGCCCCCTCCCCCAACCCTTGGTGTCCAGCCAGGAGGTCCGAGGGGTGCCTTGGCCGGGGAGCTCACAGGGTGCTGTGGGCCACCCTAAGTCCCAGGCCAGGGCCACCGAGTCTGACTGTCCCTCTTGGGCCTAAGCAGGTGGGGACACTTGGGGTTTCACAGCCCGGGAGTGAATTCCAGAGAACAGGGAGTGCCGGCTCTTCACATTTGGGCTGTGAGCCTTTCCTAGGTCCCCGGCCAGGAGCCTGGGGTCTCAGTCCCCTCCCCGCACTTATAGAAGCTGGGAGCCCTCTTCAGCCCCCTCCTCCGGGCCCCGGGATCAGGAGCCGGACCACCGGGAGCCCGGGAGCTGCTGAGAAGGCATCTTCTCCTGTGGCCGTGTGCTCGGCCCCGCTGTCGGAGTCTGTGCACCGGCCGCCAGCAGTGCAAGGCTAAGACAGGAAATGGACCAGGACAGGAGAGAGGGGCAAGAGGGACAACCCCCGTGTACCCCCCATGCACCCCAGATGCAGGCCAGAACAGCTGCTGAACAGTACTTCCTGGTGAAGTACTAGATATTAAGGATCACATTTAAATTTTGGGTACAAGCCTGACACTGTCATTGATTGCTTTGAGTGGCTAGCAGAAACCATTGAGCAACCAAGTCTAGAATACAATGCCAGGCAGGGCAGGAGCCATAACTAATGTTTTATTTTGTTACAGGAAAAATCAACACTAATTATGTCCTCTAGAGGAACTAACTCCTAGGTAGAAATTTTAACATTATAACAAACCAACAGGCTAAGCTTCAAAATGGCCCAACTTGTAACTTGTAGCTGGACTATTTTGCTGCATTTTGGCAATACAGTATACCCCAACTTAAGAGTGTACAACTATCTTAGGATGCTTAACGTAACTAACTCCTCCTACCCCTCCATGGGGGGACCCCCTCTTTCCCCTAAACTATTAATTCTAGATGTAACGGAAGATGCAAAAAGAATAAAGAGGGTCCCCTTGTATCTTTCACTCAGCTTCGCCTTAACCTCTTATACTAGTACTAGAGGCCCGATGCACAAAAATTCATGCAAGCGTGGGCCTTCCTTCCCTGGGCTGGCTTCCCTCGGGCCGCCCATAGGCATCCAGGATGGGCTGGCTTCCCTCTGGCCCCGGCTTTTGTCAGGAAGGACATCTGGAATGACACCCGGTCTAATTAGCATATTACCCTTTTATTATTATTATAGATGACCACAGTACATTGGTCACAATGTAGCAACCAACATTGGAACAACACTACTTACCAAACTCCAACTTCAGATTCCACCAGGTTGCTGTTGTTGTTTTCGTTAGAGTGATCTTCCTATTTTCGGATCCAGCTCAGGACACCCTATCGTTAATCATCCTGTCTCCCGTCTCTCTGGTCTGTGACGGTTTCTCAGCCTCTTCTTATTGCTCATGACCATGACAGTCTTGAGAAGGATTAGCCATGTGTCTTGTACAGTGTCCTCCAGTCTAGCTTTGTCTGATGTTTCCTCATCATTAGACACAGGGGTTATGGTTTGAGGAAGGCAAACCATAAACAGAGGGCAAGTGCAATGATCATGACATCCCTGGGGATGCTAACCTTCATCCCCTAGTTAAAGTAACGTCTGCCAGGTTGCTATTTTTCCTTCTTCCTATTCTGTTGTTTAGAAGCCAGTCACTCAGTTGGGTCTACTCTCAGGTGGGAAGAATTCAAGCTCCAGCTCTTGGAGGCATTTGATTTTCGAAATAACCCTTTGAGCTCAGGGAAGATTCAAGCTTGTGTGAAAGAAATTACGTAGGTAGCACTTAGCATGGTGCCTGGTATGGAAGGGCAATGGTAGCATCTATCGTCATCATCACTCTTTGTTGTTGTGAAGGCAAAGCTAGCATTTCAAGCAGAGCACCTAAGCCTGGGCTTTGCCACAGCCCCCACACCTGTCTGAAGAGGCTCGGGGAGCCAGAACAGCTGTGTCTCATTCCCTACAGGCTGAGAGCAGGCACCTCCAGGTATAACTCACCACAAGCTCATCCACCATGGGAGACGTGCAAAGCCACACATCACTCCCTGTCCCCTAGAGCAGTGTTTCCCAAAGTGTGGTACGTGCCCCCCAGGGGTACGGGAAGAGTTTGGTGGGGATAGGCACTGCACCGTGCTTAGCTGCGCCTGATTCTATGTTCTCATGAGTGCGAGGGGTACTCAGCGTTACGAAAATTATAGGAAGGGTACACATATGTCAAAGGTTTGGGAAACACTGCACTAGAGGAAGCAGCCCACAGTGAGTGACACAGAACAGGGAATGACTCAGTCTCAGGTAATTACAGGAGGTGGGTCTCCATGGTGAAGCTGACATTCTTTCCCAGAGACCAGCCCTCCAAAGGAATACCATTCCAGACAGTCCTGTCCCTGGCCTTGGCCTCTGAGGCCCTTCATGGTCTGGCCCCGCCTACCCCTCCACCCTCTCTCCCACTGTTCAGCCACCTTGGCTCCGAAGCTCAGCCACCCTGAGACCTTGTGGCTGCCCGTTGTGCGGAGTGCCTGCTCATTCCGTGCTGTTCCTGGAACTCCCTGTGCCACCTAACTCTTACTCACCTTTTAAAACACAATGCAGATCCACTTCCACCGTGAAGCCACATTAGGTGACGGTATGTGTCTGCGTGTCTCTTAGGCCAGCTGCTGTCAGCTGAGGGTCATTCTGTCCTCCTAGGGACATTTGACAATGCCCCTGACATTTTTGATTGTCAGGACTGGGAGTGCTACTTATATCTAATGGGTAGAGGCCAAGAATGCTGTTTAACATCCTCCAATGTACAGGACAGCCCCACAACAGAGAATTTTCCAGCCCAATTGTTGATAATGCCAAGACTAAGAAATACTGCTGTAGACTCAAGCTCTCCGTGTCTCCTTAGCTCTTAGTAAATTCCATGCCCCATGATAAAGACTCCATAGAAAGAATGGTTGGGTGGGTAAAAGATGAGAGATATCTCTCCTTGCCACTCTCTTTGAGAAAGGCAAGTTCTACATTTAGGGGAGAGCTATGTCACCTGAAGGTTTCTATAACCAAGATGGCTGCAGAGTAAGGGTCATACCACTCTCCCTACTTAGAATCTCCAATGGCTTCCCAGTGCCTTCGGGTAAAGTCCAAAAGCCATAGCAATTCAGAGAGTGGACGTTTACCAACCCTGAAGACCTCAAAAGACCCAAAATGGGGCTTCTGACCTAGACCAGAGTTGGGTGTCTGGTGAAGCATGTCCTTGTATTCCTAGAGTCTCCAGTTCCCTCGATGTGCTGCTTCTCTTGACCACAAAGACCAGACTTAAACTGAAGGCAGGCCATTTGAGGATCCCCCACCCTCACCCCCCAGTTTCTGAAGTGAGGGCTCTTGACCACAGATTGTGTGTGCGCGCGCGCACACACACACTAACTGAATTTGATTTGGGGAGATCTTGGCCTGGTGGAGCAGCTTGAACCTCGGTGAGAGGGACTTGGTTCCTCTCCTGATTACTGTCCAGAGGCCCCATCTGTGAAGGACCTGGGTCAGACCAGCAGCCTCAGGGCAAGGATGTCTGGCGGTACCTGAGGAGGTGCCAGCACTGGGGAAGACATATCCAAGAACACCTGTGTGCGGTGTCTGGCATGTGTTTCAGACTCTGGACACCTGTTTCAGAGTATGTGGTTACATCTGTATTGAGGGTATCTGGTTTGTGTTTTGGGAGAAGATCTGAAAGTTGCTGTGTGGGGTCTCATAGGTTTCTGGGTGCCTGAAAGCCTGTTTGGGGGTACCTGATGGCTCCTGGGTGAAGGTGTGTGATACTTTGGGGATATTTGGCATGTTTTTCAGATCCTGAATGCTAGCATTGGGGACCTAACAGTTGTCCGGCCTGAAAGTATCTGATGGCCCTGCCTGGGGGTCTGGCACGTGTTTGGGGTAGCTGGGGTACCTATGTCAATTCTGTCTGTGGTCTACACCGACCCTTCTTCAAAGGTGACACCTCTGTTCTCTCCATTTCTTGTGCCCTCCCTTCTCCAACTCCTTCCCTCAGACTCGCCCTCAACCCGGCCAAGGTCCCCAGGCGCCGCTGACCTCCTGCCCCCGCTGACCTCCTGCCCCCGATTGCCGCTCCATGCCCCCCAGCCCCACTGTCCTCCCCACCCGGAACCCCGCCCCGCCAACTCCCGGGGCCGCCGTGGACCCCGCCCCGCTGGCCGCCCCTCGAGGAACGCCCTCGCCCGCCCCCCAGAGCCCCCGCAGTGGACCCCGCGCCCCCTGGTCTGCCCTGCGTTCCAGCTCAGCCCGAGCAAACCCGGCGCCGACCGCGAGGCCCCGCCCCCGGCCACACCCCCTGTCCGCCCGGGGGCGGGGCTGCGCCTGCGCGACTCCTCCGCGCGGCTTTCCGCTTCCGGCTCCGCGGAGCGAGCGGCTGCGGCTGCACCGAGGTGGGCGGCGGCGGCGCCGGGAGGCTGGCTGTGCGGCGGCCCGCGAGCGGCGTGCGAGGCGCCGCGCCGAGGTGAGGGCGGCCGGACGGGCGCGCCGGGGGGAGGCCTCGGCCCCGCGGGGGCCGGCGGGCACCGGGCGGCCTCCGCCCAGCTGGCGGCGGGGCGCTGGCGGAGGCACAGGTGCAGGCGATGCCCGCGTTCCTCTCGGAGCCCAGCGCTGGGCGGTGCAGCGTCCTCTCGGCTGCAGGTTGAGGGGCACCTGGGGCAGGACCAGGGCGGTGGCGATAACCGAAACAGTGACCGGCACCGGCTGCTGGAGTCCTCCTGGAGAACCCACTTCCTGGAGCAGAGGTCCGCTGTGCCGCCGAGCGTGTGGGTAACAGGACCGCACCGTGTGTGTGTGTGCTCTGGGCACCCGCACTCCTCGCGCCTCACGCTCACCCCGGTGTCTGGCGGGAGAATTAGAGGGTGCGGTGCAGGGTTCCTTGCGGGCACAAATGAGAGGCCCGTGGCGTCTGCACGGGTTGTTGTAGCCGACTTAACCTTTTCACTTGTTGCTCTGCTGAGACCGAGCCCAGAAGGTAGAATGTTTTCCTGAAGTCTTACCCACGGAGTGAAGAAAACGGCTTTCCCGCCCCGAGGCCTCGGGGGGAGAGCGGAGCGCCAGCCGGCAGGCTGAGGGCAGTCCCTTCTGGTTGACCAGGGAGCGTTCAGGACAGTGTGACAGCCCCATGGCCAAGGGCGATTTGTTTGGGAATGATCTTGCACGTATCCGGGTGAATGATTAATCCTGGAGCTATATGGAGAAGTGTCCGGAGCACAGGCAAATCAGAACTTGGTTCTGGTCCCAGTTCCTACCGCCTGTGAGCCAGGGGACCTCGCTGAACCTTGGTCTTCCCATCTTTAAACTGGGGATAAGGATCTGTTGAGGATTTGATGTGTTAATATATGTAAGGTGCGTGGCAGAATGCCTGGCAAATGGTGGATGCTCAATAAATGT